GTATATTATCTAGGCTGAAACAGATCACCAGCCCAGGTTGGATGCATGAGACAAGCGCTCGGACCTGGTGCACTGGGAAGACCCAGAGGGATCGGGTGGAGAGGGAGGTGGGAGGGGGGACCGGGATGGGGAATACATGTAAATCCATGGCTAATTCATTTCAATGTATGACAAAAACCACTGCAATGTTGTAAAGTAATTAGCCTCCAACCAATAAAAATAAATGGAAAAAAAAATCAGTCGATGTAATTCAACTGATAAATGGTTTAAGGAAGAAAAATCACATGATCACACCAATGCATGCAGAAAAGGCATTTGACAAAGTCCAAAACTCATGCATGATAAAAACTCTCTGTAAACTAACAGTAAAGAGGAACTTTCTCTGCTTGAAAAAGAACACCTACACAAAACCTAAAGTTAACATCATACTGAATGATGAAAAACTTGAAGCTTCCCCACTCAGATTAGGAGCAAGGCAAGGATGTCACTCTCATGACTGCTTTTCAATATAGTATTGGCCCTAGGTGATCAGTAAGACAAGAAAAGGAAATAAAATGTATACAGATCAGGAAGAGAGAAATAAAACTGTCTTTGTTCATAGATGGCATAATTGTCATGCAGAAAATCTAAAAGAATCAACAAGAAAACTCCTGAAACCAAAAGTGATTATAACAAGGTGGAAGGATGTAAGTTAACATAGAAAAGTCAATTGCTTTCCTGTATCAGCAAAGACCATATGAAATTTAAAGTTACAAACACAATCCCATTTACATTCAGTTCAGTTCAGTTCAGTCACTCAGTCTTGTCCGACTCTTTACGACCCCATGAATCGCAGCATGCCAGGCCTCCCTGTCCATCACCAACTTCCGGAGTTTACTCACACTCATGTCCATCGAGTCAGTGATGCCATCCATTTACATTAGCACCCCACAAAATGAAGTGCTTCAGAATAAATCTAACAAGATATGTGCAAAATCTTTATGAGGAAGACTACAAAATGCTGATGAAATAACTGAAAGAATAACAAAATTAATGGAGTTACTCCATGTGTGTGAACCTGAAGACTTGATATTTTCATGATTTCACTTCTGAACTTGATCTATAGATTCTATACAATTCCAGTCAAAGTCCCAGTAGGTTATTTTATGGATAATGACAAACTGATTACAAATTTTATACAGAGAGACAAAAGACTCAGAATTTCCAACTCACACTGAAGAAGTAGAACTGAATTCAAAGTTGGAGGACTGACACTACTCAATACCATGACTTACTATTGACCTAAAGTGATAGTGATCATGTATAGTAGACAGGTTAGACAAAGAAATCAATGAAATAGAGATCCTAGAAATAGACCCATATAAATATAGACAACGGATCATTGACAATTGACCTTTGTAAAGAAAAACAAACAAACAAACAATTGAGCCAAGATACTGTTATTAAAGAATGGTTCTATACAACATGTAAGAAAATGAATCACACAAGAGTTTACATTGCTCACAAAAACTAACTTAAAATATCCCAAGCTTAATGTAAAATAAAAAACTGTAAAATTCCTAGAAGGTAATTGGAAAAATCTAGGTGACCTTAGGTGCGGCAATGACATTTTAGGTACAAGATGAAAAGAATGATTTATAAAACAAGGAACTGAGAAGCTGGACTGCAATAAAATTAAAAATTTCTACTCTATAGAAGGACATTGTCAAGAGGATGAAAAGACAGGCTATAGTTTATATGAAAATATTTGCAAAAGATATATCTGATAAAGAACTGTTATCTAAAATATTTAATACAAAGATTGGATGACCTTTGAGTATATTATGCTAAATAATGTAAGTCAGCCAAAGAAAGACAAATACTGCATATCACTTACAGGTGGAATCTAAAAACATCAAACTTGTAGCAGTAAAATGGTGGTTACGTGGGGGGTGGTGGGTAGGGATTTAAGACAGATGTTTAAGGTACAAACTCGCAACAAGTAGTAAGTCAGTCCTAGAGATCTGACGAACAACACAGTGAAAATAGGCAACAATGTTGTATTACAGTCCTCAAACTTGCTAAGAGACTAAAACTCAATCATTTAAGGCACTAAAATGAACTGATGACTATATAATGTATTGCTGTTATTGCTCAGTCACTCAGTGGTGTCTGACTGTGACCCAGTGGACTGTAGCACGACAGGCTTCCTTGAGAGAGGTGTTAATTATTGCTATAATGGCAATCATATAAAAATATATCAGACTAACATGTGTACACTTTAAATTCACACAATGTTATATGTCAAATATATTTCAACACAAATATGGAAAATAAAGAAAAAACCTGATTAAAAAATGGGCCAAAGACTTTAGGAGACACCTAACACAGAAGATATACAGATGGCAAACAAGCATATGAAAAGATACTCCACATCATTTGTCATCAGGAAATGCAAGTTGAAATGAGAGTGAGATACTACTATACACCTATTGGAATGTGCTGGTAAGGATGCAGAGTAACATGAATTCATCCACTGCTGGTGAGAATGGAAAATGGCACAGTCACTTTGGAAGAAAGTTTGGCAGTTTCTTATCAAACTAAACATACTCTTATCACACAATCCAAAAACTGTGCTCTTTGGTATTTAACCAAAGGAGCTGAAACCTATGTCTGCACAATTATCTCCTCATGCTGTGTTCTTAATTGTCAAAACTTGGAAACAATCAAAATGTCCTTCAGTTGGTAAATGGAAAATAAACTGTGGTATATCCCGGCAATAAAATATTACTCAATGCTCAAAAGAAATAAGCTATGAAGCCATAAAAAGACACGGAGGAAACTTAAATGCATAGTACAAAGTGATATAAGTGAGATCTACAGCAATCTGGAGGAGGCAAAACCAAGGAACCAAAGAAACAGTAAAGAGATCAAAGGTTGTCATGGATTCAGCAGGAGGGAGGGATGAACAGGTAGAGCACAAGAGAGTTTTTAGAACAGCGAAACTATAGTAATGACCAGTATATAATATTCATACATATAATGACTATATGTCATTACATAGTTGTCCAAACTCACAATGCACAACACCAAGAGTGAACCCTAATGTAAATTATGGTCTTTGGATGATAATGATGTGTCAATGTGTGTTCATCTATTGTAACAAATATACTGCTTTCATGGAGGATGTTGTTAACGGAGGAAGCTGTGCTTGCATGGGGTCAGAGAGTATATGGGAAATCTCTGTATTATTTGCTCAGCTTTTCTGTGCACCTAATATAGAAACTCTATTAAACAAAGCAAAAAAACAAAACAAAACAAAGCAATTACTATGAGCATTTAAATCTCAGAGTGTTAAATCTCAGAGAAACTCAGAATTATTCATTTTTCCATGTCTGAGTGAGGAATGAGGTATTGCACCTAAAATAAAATGACAAAAAACTAATCACCATATTACTATTATTTTAAAATAATTACAAATTACAATTACAAGAATTCCCACAAATATTTTGCTATGCAAGAGAATTAATTCTTTAACATGAATCCTTGATATTGCTTTGATCAAATGGTGGAAGACATTTTATCTAGTGCTGACTGGATTTAGAGTCAGCTTGACTGGTGTCACAGAATGTCAGTTATTGAGGAAGGAGAAAAGACTGCAGGAATGTCAAATATTCCTTGGTTGTCTGGAAGATGTGGGAAAATAATGGCAAAAAATATTGTCAGGAAAAGTTTGAAACTGAGAGGTTATGATTATGCCAAGACTGATAGGCTGCATAGAGAGACCTTTGGCCAAGAGAAGGGGTGGGGGGCGGGGGTTATGATGAGTTGTGGGTTTGAATATCAGTGTTAATTGTTTACCAACTGTGTCATCTGGAGAAAGTTATTTAACCTCTCTAAATCTAAGTTTCCTCATCTGAGTAAATGAGATAATTTAGCAAAACACTCAAACAATTGACTAGCATCCAAAAGTGTTAGATGTGGTGATGATGATACTATGCTTATGATGGTGATTATGGCATTAATTGAATGAAGGAGTATTTAAATAACCTTGGCAGTAATAAGTAGACAGTAACAGCATAATAAGAGAGAAAATGGAGAAATCTGGTTGAGAAAGACTATTTGCTACTTCTTGGTGACTTTCAAATTTTCTCCATTTGTTATGTGTACTACAAGTTTGAATTAGTATTAGTTTGGATAACATATTCTTTATAGCAGAGGATAAATCAATGACCAACCCTCTTAAACTCATTGCTGAAAGTTCTAATTTATGTTATGTTCCAGTCAAGATGGATACATATTTGTCAGAGGGCCAAGGACAAGCAAAAGAAAAACAAAAACAAAACTATCCCTAAAGGAAGAAAACATGAACTCAAAACCAGCAAGCAGACACAAGGGACATGAGAGATGTGAAAGGGAGAAAGGAAAGATGGAAAAAATTCAATCAGTCATGTTGAGAAGTGGCTGTTCTCCATTCATGTGTGAGTGAAATTTAGAGGGTTACTCCCCTATATTTCTATTCCACTCTCAACCTGAGAAATAATGACATTTACATTCAAAGTGTTTTCACCTCAGAGTTTTCTGGATGGCAGCCTGTACCTCCTTATTTCTCAAGCTGTAGATCAGGGGGTTCAGCATGGGGATCACTGTGGTGTAGAACACGGAGACCACGTTCTCCTGGGCCAGGGAACTGGCCGTGGAGGGTTTCAAGTACATGAAGGATGCAGACCCATAAAATAATCCCACAGCTGTAAGATGGGAGCTGCACGTGCTGAAGGCTTTGGATCGTCCCTCTGTGGAGGCAATATGGAGAATGCTGGAGAGGATGAAGGCATAGGAAACAAGGATTATTAAGCTGGTGACTACGATGTTGAATCCAGCCAAAAAGAAAGTTGTCATCTCAATGTCATAGGTGCTCGAGCAAGAGAGCTTCATGAGTGGGAGGATGTCACAGAAGTAATGACTGATAAGGAAATCACAATAGAGCAGCTTCAACATGAGGCTAGTCTCTATGGTTGAACCAATGAATCCTATGGCATAGACCCCAGCCACCAGCAGGGAGCAGACTCCTTGAGACATGATGATGTTGTAAAGCAAAGGTCTGCAGATGGCAACATAGCGGTCATAGGCCATCACTGTCAGCATGTAACACTCAGCAATGACAAACACCAGGAAGAAGTAGAGCTGTGACATGCACCCTGCATAGGAGATGATGTTCTTCTCTGACACAAAGTTCGCCAGCATCTTAGGGGTGATGACAGAGGAGTAGCAGAGATCCACGAAGGACAGACTACTGAGGAAATAGTACATGGGGGTGTGAAGATGAGCGTTCAGACAAATTAGTGTTATCACGCCCAGGTTCCCTACCATGGTGACAGAGTAGATCCCAAGGAAGAGGAAGAAGAGGGGGAGCTGGAGCTCTGGTCGATTTGTTAAACCTCCAAGAATGAACTCTGTCACTGCGGAGTGGTTTTCTGCAGCCATTCTCCTCTGTTTGGGGGCCCTGTGGAGATAAGAAAGAAGAGCCTGTGAAAGGCTGTATAGAGTCAGCCCTTGGTATCAGTTGGATACACATCTGAGGATTCAATCAACAGCATCTAGGACTCGAAAGGCTCTCTTCATTGTATTATGTCATTTTAAAAGTTTTTTAAATGCTATATTGAAGTATAGTCAATTAGCAATGCTGTGATAGTTTTAGGAGGACAGCAAAGGGACTCAGCCACACATATGCATGTATCCACTCTCCCCCAAACTTATAAGAAAGTTGAGCATGGCACAGCAGCTCCTGCAGATGCTAAGGAATGAGTGTGCAGGAGCCTTTCTGGTAAGGCAAGGTATCAGCTTCTGTTCCTCAGTGAGTGATCTTGAACTCACATTTTCCTAGTTGCTTGTATCTTTACTCCTTCTTCCCTGGTGGCGCAGATGGTAAAGAATCTGCCTGCAGTGAAGGAGACCCAAGTTCGATCCTTGGGCCAGAAAGACTCCCTGGTGAAGAGAAAGGCAACCCACTCTGGTATTCTTGCCTGGAGAATCCAATGGACAGAGGAGCCTGGTGGGCTACAGTCCATGGGGTTGCAAAGCGTTAGACATGACTGAGTGACTAACACTACTTACTCCTATATTTTCTAGGATTCAGATAATTTTTGCATGGCTTGAAGAATATGAAGGTGGGGATAAAACGGCCACCCCTAGAAATTTTAACATCCTCCTGTTTCTCGTGTTTTATTTCTAGGTTTACAGGTGAATGTTAATCCAGAAAGAGAAAGTCTTTTGGCATCTATGTAATCTCAAAATATTGCCCATAAAATGAAAACATGTGGTTACCTTATCCTAAACTGAGATAGTGTGGGCTGATAGGTAGAGCCCCTTCAGTCACTGAGTGACAAATGAGTTTCCACAGTTGAGAATTAAATGGAGTTACAATATCAATTTCCAAAATTAAAAAATGTAATGGAATAATATGCATGAAATATTTTCCAAATACTCAATTGTTACACAAATATAAGTTTTCATTAGGCATCTGGAGTTTCTCCTGATTTTTCATTGAACCTGAGGTCCTAGGATAGTTATTTTTAGTTTTGGTTACACATAAAAGTCACCTGATGAGATTTAAAACATAATATGTCAGGTTCTGACCAACAGTCATTCTGACCTACTGACATTTTCTAGACACTGAGTGCTCTGTTTATGAGCAGGTGGCAAAGTTCACCTGAAGGTAGTACAGATTTTTTCTTTAACTTTTTGTTTATTGCAATCAGATGGTTTTGTAGCTTGAAATTGTGGCTATGAAAGCAGTTTATCCCGAGTAACATGAAGCTCCTGGGGAAGAGGTTGAGATTGATTGCTCTCCCTTGCATTGAAAGACTCAGGAAAAATTCATTTTGGATCATGCTTAGGAGTAGATGGAAGTAGAAATAGAATACAATGTACCTCACAGATCAAGAGCAAAGTTATTTGAGTGGTACATGGACATTTTCCCTTGTCCCCTTTTTTGCTAAATCCTGCTGTCCTTAGTGGCCAGCTGATCTGTGGCCACTTTCTTTCCTCATACCAAGTGTATCCTCTAGAACAACCAGTCTCTCTTGTTGCTTCATCATTTTTCTATTCCTTGTGTTGATTTCAAAATGACTACTCATGGTTTTCTGTTTTCAGAGTCAACCTATGATCAATGCAGAGAAGATGTTTAGCCATGGCCATTATATGCAGATGCCCAAGAGGCTCCCTGGAAGGAATCTTGGTACATCTAAGTCAAAATGGCAGTTTAAATTTGGTCTTGAGAAGCAGTTCCTGTCACTGGGTATCATATCTCCCTGTGATGGCTTTTCTTCAATTTTCCTTTTCACCCAATGAGAAAAAACTGAGGGAAACATGATTTATAAGAGCGTAGAGTATTTTTCTTCTGGCAAACTGACTTCTGGAAGTAATCTGGTATTGTCAAGTGGTGAATGTAACCCCTGGAGGATCATCTATCTGACTCCAGTTAAAGCTTCCCAAATTCTAAACATAATTGGCCATTGGATGAAATAACCACTTAAAACTATCCATATCTTAGTTTTTGCTATTTCAATTTATGGGTGAGCAGGTGAGTGAAAAAGATATATATTTTTTTAGTCTGAAAATTTCACAGCATATTTAAAGTACTTAAAAATTAGTGAGCGGGCTTCTTACTTCCACCCATGAAGGGTGAACTCATACTGGAATTGTGTTTATACCATAAACAACCAGAAAACCAGACAAGGCACAATGAACAATCATTTCCTGACATCTGACAACAGGCAGTACCAAACTGATTCCTGAGAGGAGGGAAAAATATATAGTGAGCCCAATGATTGCACCAGTGATTCTACACCACATTCCAGGTGAACAGATCTAGATAGAATGAATATTATAAAATGTAGAACAACAAGTAAATAATAAAAAATCTATAGCTAATAAGCTAATAGTGGCAATAAAATAGAATCATCAAAACTGTCAGTCTAAAAGAAGGGAAGGAAAGAGAAAAAGTGGAATAAGGGACAGTTGCAAGATGGCAGATTTAAGCTCAAACATTTTGATGACTGATTTAAATACAAATAGTTTAAATAGTCTAAGGAAAATGCAGAGATTTTCACAGTGAATAAATGCCATTATCCAACTATGGTTTTCCAAGAAATCTACTTTGAATATAAAGACTTTAATAGCTAAAATTATAAGTACAGAAAAAAATATACCATGCAAATATCAAGGCAAAGAAAGCTAGAGTGACTATATCAGCAGCGAGCAAAGTAGATCTCAAAGCAGGAAATATTACTAGAAATAAGGAGGAACATTTCAGAATGATAAAGAAGTCAGTTGATTAAAGTGACATGAGACTCCTAAACGAGTTCACTTCTCAACAGTGTTTCAAAACACATGAACCAAGCTGACAGAAAGAAAGAATATATAGGTCCACCATTAGAGACTGCAATACTCTTTTAATTAATTGACAGAACTAGTAGAAAGATTAGCAATGACAGAGAAAATACCCACAAACTGACATTTTTGGAACTCTCCACAAAGGAGCAGCAAAATACACAATCTTTTAGTTACATGTGGAAAAACCTATTCATGATAAAATCTATTCTGGGCACTAAAACTGCCATACCTTTGAAAAGCTGAAATCACATACACCATTTACCCATACCAAAACAAACTATAAATAATTTATAGAGTGATATCTAGAAAATCATCAGCTATTGGAAAATTAAGTGCTGAGATTTTCTTTTACTCATTTGATAAGCTATAAATCTTAAGAATTGAGGTATTAGATAGCAAAGAGACAAGATTAGAATCAAACTGCCTTTCTCTGACTCATTTATTTATTTTTTTATTAACGTGTCATTGACCTACAACACTATGTTAGTCCCAGGTTGAAGGGTTGAGATTTTAAGCCTTCCTAAAAGTCACAGGGGGCTGCCCTGATGGCTCCGATGGTAAAGAATCCCCCTGCAATGTAGGAGACACAGGTGATGCAGGTTCGATTCCTGGGTTGGGAAGATGCCCTAGAGGAGAGCATGGCAACCCATTCTTGCCTGGAGAGCCCCGGGAACAGAGGAGCCTCGTGGCCTAGAGCCCATAGCGTGGCAAAGAGTTTGACGTGGCTGAGCATGCGCACAAAGGTCACCAAACGGCTTTCCTGGTAGAACGGCGGAAGTCGAGGAGTAGCAACAGAGATCTAACGGGCTGCAGAGCCTAAAGTACTTACTATCTGGTCCTTTCCTGAATCACCAGCAAACTCCCGTTACAGGAAACCGACACTCAAGTTACACAATTCACCCAAAGTCATACGGCTATGGAAAGTAGAGCTGAACCCAGAACCCAGCAGTTGTGACCATGAGTCTGTTTTGCCTTTACCATAGTGTGCTGTCTGGCTATAACTGGTCTCTTTGCGAAACTTTATTTTTATATTTTAGGTAATCTTAATATAGTACATTAAGGCCAATGAAGGATCTTACTGCTATATCTCTAGAAACTTAAGAGTACAAAAGCAATATATCTGCATTGGAGACAAGTAAACACACAGATAAAAATCAAATTTTCATATTCTATCAACTGAAAATCTAAAATTGCTATGTATGTTCTACTAGATCTTCTTCTATGCATATATGTATTTACAAATGTGTACATTAATATAGAGGTTTTTTTTTCAGTCAAAGTGAGCATACTATACATGTTGGTTTGTAACGTGCTTTGTTCTGTAGCATTAAAAGACACTGACTGACTTGCTCAGCAAAAGTAATATCACTTCTGTTCATTTTGATACTGAAGATAAGGAAGTTTGCATTATAATAAAATTTATCCCTTAAATTATTGGCAGTGAGGTATTTAATTTTTCAATAATAGTAACAGAATTTTGAATTGTATTTTAATTTTTTGAAAAATATGTAAGTGATTTTCACCTAGACAATGACAGCAGATTTAAAACATATCTTACATATCTTCTTCCCTCAAATCAGAATCTCCTAAAATGATAAAGAACAGAAAATTCACAAACATCTCTGTACTAGCAATCAAAGTTCCAGAAAACAGAATATTGTCATGAAGTAGAGATTTTAATTCCTGTCTTTTGATGGAAACACCTTTTCTACTGAATACAAAATCATGGGCAACAGTGATATTATTCCTGTAATCTTCCAGCTAATTTATAAGTGACCCCTAAATTTCTTGTTAGTTGCTAAAAATCTTACAAGTAGTTTTATCAGCTCACCAGAAGCTAAGAACTTCTGCTAACGAAAGCAATCAGAATTATAAAGGCAAATATATTTCTTTTCCAAGTGAGGGGAAAAGTTCTGAGAAGGGAGACATATGATTGAAAATAGTGTGTATAAAAGGTCTGTAGTAGAAAAAGGAATTCATGGAAGATACTTTGTTCTCATCTTGCACAACTGCCTTAAAACCATAACTGAAAATCCTGTCGAGGAAAACTGGAACATTGTTACCTGGAAGTCTTTGGAGGTACTTGGCTT